TGGCTTATGGTGGGAACAGGAACATTAAACCAACTTTAGGTGAGTTATTGTCTGATCATTACATTATACCAACTTAGGTTAGTTATTATTTCATCATTAATTTATTATGGTTCTTTGCCATCTATATATATATAATTCTGGGAGTAATAGAGCTGATGTGGCATCCTTCATAGTTGAGGATGGCTATTTATCTTTTTTCCTATTTTTTTGCTTTTTTGCCAATTTATTTTCGTGTATGTTGAAAATGATTATGTGTAACTGATGACTATTAATCAATGTATGACGACTATTAATCAATGTATTCAAGTTAGAACACTATCGGTAACTGATCGTGGCAACTTGAAAAGACGCCTTAGTATTGGAACGTTACAACACTATCGGTAATTGATGACTATTAATCAATATATTCAAGTTTCTCAATTAGATTGATGGACACCACAAATACATTGCAAATGATTATGTGTATTTTAAAATATATTTTGATTAGTTGGCAAGGTCTAGCTAATTGAAGCAGTATGCCACTATTCCAGAAAATGACCATGATCGATGTTTTGAAGGAGGAGAAACCACAACTTTCAAAATTACGAGGAAAACAGTTCCTTTTACACCACTATTTAACTCTTTGAGAAGCATATCTAACAAGCACAATAGGAAGCTTTATTCATCTACAGGTGCTTATTTTTTCCTTTAGCCTTTCTTATTGAAGTATTAGTAGATTCTTGATCCTTTTTTATTGCGCATACATGTTCTTAGTGTTGTGAAGAATAAAAAAAAATACTAGTTCACTGAATTTATAGAAAAAAGGTGGTGGACATTTTGAAATGGTTAGAAGATTTACACAATCAGAGAAAGAAGATGATGTTGGAATTTTGCAGAAAAGTAGGAAGAAGAGAATATCGGTAATTATTCTCTGATTGATTAAATGGTAGTGATGGGAAGAAAGATACTTTGCAATTTCTCTTATGTTCGTAATTAGTAAACACATTTATGTTTTTTCCTTTGGTTTCTTTAGTTATTATTTTTGTGACCCGTAGTCTCCTTTTCTAATGTTTTTCCTTTTCTAATATCTCAATGGCTTATAATTTTGCCATCTCTTCCTATTTCAAAACAAATGAACGATGCTTTCTAGACGGAATGTCATAAGGCAATTCGTCAAAGCCAATATGGGTGAGGCTTCTATTTTCATGAGCCGGAATTCTACGTGCTTCACTTGAACCTTTCCTTCTCTTTCTCAATATAAATTGAATAATTCTTAACCTTCTTCCTTTTTGTATTTTCTAACCGTTTAGCATATGTATTTTCGTGTATAAGAGAACAATACTTAGGTAAAGTATAAATACTATGAACGAGCCCATAGGCCATAATTTAAGAACATTTCATGTGCTCATGCAAGATTGAGTGTATTGAGACCCATCAATATCAATAGCTTAATTTTATGGACTGCTTTTTGAGAATTATGTTTGAATTTAAGTATTTGACATTCAATATATTTAAAAGACGAAAAAATGTATAGTTTTTATCTATATAGGTCATTAGAAAAGGAATCGACTATCTCAAGAAGATAAATAAACCGGAATGATGAAAAATTATAAAAAATATAAAATTATGTTTAAAATTAATTAGTACTTTGNTTATCTAGTTTCTCAATTTTTGGGATTTTTCTCTCATTTTAATACAATACTCAATTATTAATTTAAAAAATTAAAGTTTAATTACAGCTAAAGCACCGTTTCAAACAATTAATTAAAGCTTTAAATGTATCTCTTTAATACATAAAGTAACAGATAATGCACCGTTTCATAAATTTTCCAAAAACAACCGTTTTAAACCAATCCTTATTCCTTATATTTATTTGTTTCTTTTCTTAAATTTTTCTTCTGTTTCCTTCGACTACGTGGGGCATGAACGTGTTCATCCTAATTAATTATGCTTTTCCCTTATTTCATGTCTATAAAGACAGCAGAAGATCAAATATACCCTACGTATTCGTCCATATTGTTGTGTTATAATTTTTTTTATTTTCCTATAAAATCTCTCTTTTCCTCATTTTTCTTCTACTACTAGGTTCATGAACGTGTGTTCTATCCTATTAATTATGTATAAACATTATATGATGCGAAAATGTGTGAAACATCTTGGAGAGTGCTTTTGGGCATTCTTATTAACAAAAAATTAACAATGATGCACGCTCTACTTATTGTTAGGAGCAGACAAAGGATTACATCCGTGAGCCGAATGTAGGAGTGGGTAGGAGCAATTGGGAATTTCAATAACTCTATCTATTTACTTTCCTTTCTTTTGTTTTTTGGTTTGATTCTATATTTTACATGCTTTAGCTTTTAAATTGCTCAAATCTATTTCTTAATTTATTGTGAATCTGTTAACTGTGTTAGCATTTCTCTTCAAAAATAATTGACTATGATTTTAGGCATTTTGGAGTGATGAGATTTTGAAAAAATAATCGGGACAATTCATCATCGGTTGTTTTGTGTATGCGGATCTGTTTATCTTCTTTTTCCTTATGATCTACCTTAGTATTTTGGTTTATTGAAGAGCTCCGCTCATCGTATAAATATTATCCGGCCATGTATTTAAAAGGCTACAAAAATTGATCGGAATATGACGGCGAATTTTTGTCGGCGTGTAATTTTACTCCTAAGAATTAGCAAATCGATTAGCAGAATATTCATATGTGTAAGCGTGCATGAAGTATATGTATTTTTATCTCTCAATATTTATGTTTTTTCTTGAATAATAGTATCTTTGTTTTGATAGGGAGATTTAGTGCTTGAACAAGTTTAAGCTGTAATATCCTTACTTGCAAATTATGGTGAATATGTAAATATTAAAAATAAAAAAAAATAAAAAAAGAGTCAAATGACAGTCATATACAAGTTTGGATCTCCTGCTTATATATACTCATCATTAATTTGAATTGGATTTGATTTTAGGAGAACGCCGTATCAATAAAGTTCTTGAGAACGCGAATACGATGTCCATCACATCGTGAATTGAAGGTTTTATAGTTTTAATAGAGAAAAATAGAATAAATTAATGCTTGATTATTGTAAAAGATAAATCAACATTGAAAAGGTATTTACATTTGAGAAGGTAATTCATATTTTGCTTTGTCAGATCTTGTGTACTTTATATTTATATTTTAAATAAGTAGTATACATTTATTCACACACATATTCACGCCACTAGATGTTTAACTTTATAGACGGAAATTTCTATTAGATGAATATGTTTCCATCTTATCCCAATTTCCCTCCACATTTTAGGTATTATGGTCCTTTCGTTTAATTTGTGTGTGAAGTATTCTCAATTTTTGAGGTTTTAAAAGAATTTATTTTTTTCTGTTTATGTGTTAGTAAAGATTATTTCGTAAGCTCAATAAGGTCCTTTATTTTCTAGTGTATATCTAACATGGGATAGTAGAAAAACACTATTTAGGTCTTTTATGACCGCGCAAAGCGCGGTAAATTCACTAGTTAAAATTTAAAAGTGTCTTCAAACTTATGATTTTTCTTGTAAAGAATTCCAACAGACTAATTAGTTTCGTGGAATTTGGACAGAAAAGGTCTAGGATCTTTGAGGAATTATAAAATGAAAGGAGACAAAGTAATCAGAATGGTGAACGGTGTGCAACATCACCATTCACTACAAAGATTGCGTCACGTGCATCATCTACTAATTAGACAAAACGATCATCTGATCTAATTCAAATAAGAGGGTAAATAAAAAGGAGAAAACAACTTGATTTGGCAGTTTAAAACACAAAAAAAGATTATCAATATTAGCACTACTTATAAAATGCTGCCAAATTTAGCCATACATCCCTTTTTATTACAAAGTGGCTATGCTTCCTTTTCTTCTCTTTTTCTCTGTTTCTCTTCGTGCTCAAAAACAGCGGCGGATCCGAAGTATGAGATACGGATCCAGTAGCTTTTGTAAAGATGTTGTATATATTAAAATTTTTATATAAAATTTTTATTAAATATCTATAAATATTTCATTGTGAACCTTGTTATTATTGTGTATAACTTGAGATCATTGTAGGAACCTATAAACTTCAAATTTTATATCAGCCTCTCGGTTAAACTGCACATGATTTAACAGAATCCATCTTCCTAAGATGTCACAATTTCAACCAACTAGCTCGTTATACTATCTTGAAGCTTCGATTTCCAATAAGAACGTCGTGAAATTTAAACATTAGGATAAGACATAATTTGGAAGTTTTGGTTTACACAATAAGTAAACTTCAACTACGACCTCTTGAGTAAACATTTCCAATCTGGGTCCATAACCACCATCAGATGGATAGTTAATGTACCCAATCTTTTGATCAGTAAAGAAATATTAACTCCCACATATGCATCTTAAGCCGTTTTTTGAATATTTCCGACCATCTCTAGTTTACAGTAAAGAGTGCAAAAAATAAACACAAAGGATGATTAATATCTTACCAGAATCGCGAGAGTTCTAGTAAAAAACTATTTCTTTTTGCAAAGCTGTGTGTGTTAATTTCAACAACATAAAAGCAACCAAGATACAAGTCAATCATGTCATCACTCATAATCTTAAAAACCCTATTATGAATTGAAACTATTAATTAAGAGAACATACCTTCATGTAATAATTGACTGAAAACAACAGGAAAGCTAGAATAAGTTAAAGAGTTCAATACGCCTCGAACTCCAGCTTCATCAATACAACCAAACTCATTAACATTATTAAGAGTTCAATTCGCTTCGAACTCCAGCTTCATCAATACAACCAAACGCATGCACATTACTCCAAAAGAACAGAAAATTTAGTAAAACTCATTTACTACAGTAGTTATTACTCCAATACCATAAGCAGTTTCCCCTTTAGATTTTTATCAAATAAGTAACCCACGTTTTGCTGCAATTTGAACCACCCATCAAAACATAAGTAAATTGCACTAAGAATCACAATTGTATGAATACGGAATCATCTTTCGAACATCAAAATTAAACAATCTTTTCTGCATCCATTAGATATAGTGTCACGTGAATCATGCGAGTGTTTCTGAACTTGCAACAGAGAAAAGAAGAGATTACAAGTTTCTGAAAGCATATATCAGGGACAAATAGAAATCTTGAAGAACTCAAGGTAGTGATCAGGGACAATGACTTCTTCAACTGGTCTCACCATTTTGTTTTTTACCCTTCTTTTGTTTGCCTAAAGCATTTAGCATATCATACAATGATGTAAATTCACTAAATTAAAATGCTGAGACATAAACCTTCTATTCCAGTACTATGCAATGCTTAGTGAACATACAACTCTCTTTCTCTCAAGTAGAAATATTTGAATCGGATAGATATTAAGCCAAATGATCAAAGAGATTTGCCTCTATTTTTATTACTGCTTTACTTAAGTTGTCTTCTAATGCTAACTTCCAGTATGAACTTCTCCTCATCAATCAGTTTTAATTGGCAAACATCTCCTTCACGCAAAGCATTACCAGCTATAAATTTTCCGAACCCAGTCCGCAGGAGAAGTCTATCAGAACTGTGGACTGAAACGGGCCAGCTACCTCTATCAGTTTGAAGAGTAGCCTCAAAGTTTTGCCCTTGCCCCTGTTCAAGTATCTATTGCCAAAAGTAGCTGGTACATTCTGCACAAGTATGTATGGTCAAAAACATGCTCAAACACAATACACATTTAATAATCAAGTGATTGGTATCAGATGCAATGAACTAAAACACTACAAGCAGTAACACAACTTCCATTACCATTCGAAGTATATTCAACTACTTCAAAGAGTACCACTTGACCAATAATATTCACATAGCTGAGTTATTGTGACGACATGCAAAGTTACAACTATATAATCATAAAAAGCCGAGTTATCATATTCTGTGAATTATATGCATCTGAAGTTTTAATGTTTTTAGAGGTAAAAAAATTTCTCTTCATCAAACATTCAGGTCAAAGAAACACACAGAATCAAAGAGATGTCTTTCAGAGGATCTCAATATTACATTCCCACAATGTTGTAAAAAGCGTGCGCTTCTCGCTTAAAGCGCTGAAGCGACGCGAGGCGAGGCTAATTCGCTTTTCTGCCATAAAAGCGACTCACATGAAAAAAGCGCACGCTTTACCCTGTTAAGCGAGAAGCGCAGCGATCCAAAAAGCGCAAAAAAGCGCGCTTAAGCAAGGTTAAGCATCTGTTAGGGTTTTTTTTTTAAAAATTGGCAAAAACTTAACGCAAACAAACACTTCTTCTTCAAGCGACTGCTGCTCCAACGACTGCTTCAGTGCTTCTTCTCTGTAAGTTTCTTGCTTCTTCTTCTCCTCTCTTCCTCTGATTTTCTTCAGTTCCTGTTCGACTCCTTTTCTCTTCTTTTTTCTATTTTTTTCACTTTTTATTGCTCCGTTCTTGTGCGGTTGTGCCCTAATTTCTGCTCTGTTCTTTCTATGCTCCGTTGTTCTCTTCTTCTTTCTATTTTTTTCACATTTTATTGCTCTGTTTTTGTGCCCTAATCTATGCTCTGTTTTTTTGGTTTGTATTTCTCTATTTTTCTGTTCAGACTTTTCTGGTTCGAAAAAAAATTAACTGTTCTGTTCTGGGTTTTTTTTTTAGTGTATTAAATTCAATCTTATTCAATAGCATCAAGCCAAAAAAAGAGATCCAGCTTGGGCCTATGGAGTTGCAATTGCAATTGCTTAATATGTTATGACTTTTAAGGATTATTCACTATCTAGTTTTAGTATCTATTATTTACTTCTTGATTTAAGAATTGAAACATTTGCTTAATATGTTATTTTTAATGAGTTCTTGGCCATTTATCTATGCCTATTTAATTTTTATTTATTTATGTGTTAAATTGCGCTTCACATGAAAAAAGCGCGCGCTTCGCTTTGCGCTTCTCGCTTCGGTGAAGCGAGGCCTCTTCGCTTTTTTCCGCTTCTCGCTCTCCAAAACACTGCATTCCCATAAACTCTGAAGCGCAGCATTTTAGAAGGAAATTTCATGACTTGGGGATGGACAGTTGGCTGCAGTTGATGTGCAGCATAGAAGAATGAAGTTATCAAATGTAGGACGAGATGCATTACTTATGAAAGTGGTGGAAATTTTACACTAAGGGAAGGATACAAAGCTCTTACTAGAAGTGGAAATGAAGATTCATTCTGCAGAGATGCCTCGCACAAGATATTCTAGCCAAAACAGTTTTTATCTCATGCAATAGATGTTCTTTGCGTGAAAAACAATATAGAACCAGTCAATCACTTATTTATATATTGTACAATAGCTAGGGAGTTGTGGAAACTACAGTTAAATCTGGTCAATATCAAATGGGTCTTTACAGGGAACAGAAAACAGGTTCTTTGCAACTGGAGAGGAAGGAATCATAAGCCGATTATAAGAATATGGAATTGTATCCCTCTAGCTATATTTTGGGTGCTATTGAATGAGCAGGAACAAATGTGCATCAGCTGAAAAACAATTGCTTATACGTGTTGTCAGTTTGGTCTGATTTTATGGTGTAAATGATATAAATCATCTGATTGATTTTGTCAGTTTCTTAGGAAGCTAATGGAGAACTAATCACTTTTCTTTTCATAAAACATTTACCTTTTGCTCAATAATAAATTGCACAACATTTCACACAATTCCATCTTCCAAAAAAGGTCAACAATGTCAACTAATTAGCCCGCAAGAATATATCGAAGCTTCTATTTTCTTTAGAAGTTTCTTTTGTTGGGAAATTATTGGACATAAATGTCAATCCTAGAAACTCTTGTAAAAGGAATTAAATATGCCACCGGATAAAAGTGACTACTAGACATGAATTTTTTATACTGTTTCGTATAGTTGACACTAAAGCAATTATATTTAATGACATTTTAGAAAATTAGTTGCATTTAAGTATTTATGAATATATGCAAATTAGCAAATAATAACTTACCAAGCGCTTTTTTCGAATGTAGGATGGTTTGATAACAATGTCGAATGAAGTGACAGAGAAAACCAAGTCTCCTGATTCATTAAGTGCTTGATCAACTGGCCGAGCTGATGTACCTATCTCTGAACCAGATGCTCATTTGTAAGTTGACTATTTTTGGAACTGAAGTTTAAAGGTTAAGCATGAAGACAGATGTGTTGCACCAAACTAGCTATAAACTGAAGATCTTCAAAGAAACTTACCATGCACAATTTCTTCGTCCAATGGCTGCAACTCAGGCTCGTTGATGGCAGTTACGTCCCGCTTTAAGCTGCCATTTATCCCATATATTTTAACATAAAAGAGTGAATTTTCAGCATAGGAAAAGGTTAAAAATTCTCCAAATTCCAAATTATTGTTCCGTACAAAGTCTGGCCAACCTCCCATGAAATCATTGTCATTCTTTTCCACAACAACCTTCCAAGATCTTCAAGCTTATAGTTTGCAGGAATGTCTCCATTGAAAAACTTGAGAAAGACCGGTGGAATTCTCTAAGCAAAGGAGACACAAAACGGAACATAACTTCGATTTGATTTCCAGTGGAAAGATGTGCAATAACAATAGAACAAGATAGAATTGTTTTAACAAAAATTAAAGTACACTCCTATCTGGGTCTTAATCCAGTGCTAATTTCTTTAGTATACTATCTGATAATGTCCACTCTAGTCTTCTACGTCTAGGACCATAACCACAAGATAAATCTTTTATTATGTCATTCACTCTTCCGTCAATAATGAAGTGTATTAAACTGGCATTCCTTCTGCATATACATCTTTAGCCCTTCTAAAAAAATACTTACAAACCATCTCACCCGATTATAGATTGCTAATTAGGATAATAAACACCCCATATTACCAGATTATAAGGAGTAGTAATAAGAACAACATATTTGCAAGTTTTGAGTATTATTTTCATCAACATCTAAAAGGACCCATCTGAACTTAGATCATTCATACAAGAACCAAAAACTATAAGAGAACATACATGCATGAAATGACCTCTGTTTTTTAATTGATTTAAGAACAGCAACAAGGTTGGAATAAGTTAAAAGTTCAACTAGTGGATCTTAATGCAACGTTTTATTACCAGTTAAGGAGAAATAACTAACAATTATAACAGCAAATATTACCAGTTGGAAGTTGCATATTTGAGGGTGATAAATCTTAAAGAACTCGGGGAGGTGATCGGGGATAGTCACTTGCTCAATTGATGTCACCATTTTATCTTTCACCTTCTTTCTCTGTCTCATTTTGTTTATTGGAAACAGTTTCTCTATCTCCCGCAAGGTACAAGGTAGGGATAAGGTGACACACTACACTCCCCAAAACCCAATATGTGTGTATGTTGTTGTTGTTGTTTCTTTCTCTGGCTCAACTATAAAAGCAACAGAGACAGAGAGAGGGGAAAATCAGTACTTAAAACAAGAAAATGGTATAAACACACAATGTAAACAAAATAAAGAGGAAAATGGAGAATATGAATGAGCAGTAAAGATAAAATTAAACCTACATCTTACAGTACTTGACTTTTGGTTTTTGGTTCTCATTTTTGCTGGGATTTATAGAGGGGAGATGGAGATGAGGAATTGGGTCGACCCATTTGGGACCCGAATTACCTCTCTCTCTCTCTCCTTCCTAATCTACCTTTTCCCAAGGCGTCCCAGGTCTGAAGCATTGGGAATCTGATGATTTTGGCGTGGGAAGATGATTCCAAGAGTTTCACAAAAATGGGATGTGAGTGAAGGGTGAAGAATGAGCAAGGGAAAAAGACTAAACATGAAAATGGAAAAAGAGATAGCAGTTGATGCAGAGCTGACAGTGGCGGCGGAGTAGCCGGTAACATGACTGGACGAAAGTCGAAATTTCATGGAAGGGGAAAGGAAGCGAAGAAATAGGGGTTATAGGGAGGTCCTCCTTTCAATTTAAGCTTTACGCAGAATTAGGTGTTCGTACAAATCCGAAAACCCGAACCAAACGAAAATCAAACCAAATCCATACTATTTCGTTTGGTTTGGTTTTGGTTTTGAAATTTAAAAATCGATCAAATTTGGTTTAGTTTTGGTTTTAATTAAAAAAACTGAACCAAACCGAATATAGGAGTAGCTATTTTTAAATTTATTATTACACCTATATATATATATATATGTATACTTTTAACAAAGTTTTAAATATTTTATACTAAATATTAATCGTTTGCACTTTTAGTACAGTTCTTTTCCTTTACATTCTAGTTTAATTGGTAGTTTTCTTTTGTTAAGTGTAAGAATCTATTTCATATTAAAAATAATATATTTTTAATTGAGTTCTTAAATTGTCCATCACTATTTGATTCAATTATCATCAATATATCTTGGTAAATAATAGATTTCTCAAAGGGCAATTGATTTAATAGTGTTAAGTTGAAAATGTGGTCGTCGAAATGTGTGTTTGGTAGTGTATGTCTTATATTTAAGAAAAAATCGACAAATAACCGAAAAACCCGACATAAACCGAATCGAGAAATAACCGACTTAACTGGTTTGGTTTGGTTCTAATATTTGAAAAACCGACTTACTTGGTTTGGTTTTTTTTAGATAAAAACCGATCCAAACCGAACCATGAACACCCCTACCCAGAATAGACTTCACTGTAATAAATAATGTGATTTGTTTGACTAACTAGTATTAGCCTGTATTAAAACAAATTAAACTTGACAAATTGAGATTTGGTTTGTTTGAGCATATTAAATTATATTATTTTAATAAAATTTCAATTATTATCTATTTTATCAATATAGTGTACCAAATGATAAAATATTTAGGATATTAATTCAAATAAATCACATAGCCATCGAATAACTTTTTTATTTTTTATTTTGTATTAACTATTTAGTATTAAATTAGTAATATGACTTTTTATTAGCTTGTTACTTGAATTAATATATTTATCGATTAATTTTATTTTATGTTTTTGAATAAATAGAGAGTAATGGTAAGGACGTTAAGTCATGGAAACTAATAAAACTCATATGGCAATGTAATAACAGCATTCACTAATTTTCTTTTTAATTAACACACACACACACACATATGCACGCTTTCCCTAAATTTTATTAAAGTTTAATTCAATTATTAACAATTTTTCAATTGTCTAACTCAATAAATATTTTTGAATATTATTTACTTATTGTATCTTATTCTTGAATTAATTCAAACTATAAATATCCTCACACTATTTCTACCTCTCTTTATATTTTTTTTCTTTTTCATCAATAATTGAACTTTAAATTTCTCTTTATCCACTTAATGAGATTTATGGCTAGCCATATAAATTTTTATAGTTTATTTTAGACCACAAATGTCTAAAAAATTTCTTTATTTCTGAAATTCATGACCAATCAAACACCTTATAAAATGCATGCACCTTCTCATTTGTTCTTTGCTTATTACTATTGCTATATCAATACGTGATATTACATTATTTTTTAATAGTTTTCTACTTCACTTAGGCCTCATTTATTTTTTTTAAAATTAAGACGTCTGAATCTAAATATCAAGATGTGTATTAAGATTAAGACATCTGAATCTAAATACACATCTGAATATATTAAGATCTGAATAGAAACAATTAAGACTGTTTGATTTTTAACATTTGAATGTATAAAATTTATTTTTATTTGAAAATTAATAAACATAAAATTGAAATGAAATACTAACTAATCTAATATTCTATTAATAAAATATATAGTTTTTTAAAATATGATAGTTGTTGGTGATGGCTAACCGGTGAATGCCGATTAGAGGCGGTGGTTGGTGGTAGTTTTGGTTGATGATAGTGGTTCATGCTAGTAGTTAGTAGTGATTGGTAGTAATGGTGATAATGATTGATGATGGTGGTGGTGGGTAATAATGACGGGCAGTGCCGGCTGTGGTTTGTTGATGGTGATGGGGTGGTCAATTGTGGTAGTTGAGGTGGATGAGTGTTGATTGTGGGTGAGAATGGTATATGGTGGTTGGAGTGGTGGGGATAGTGGGCGGTGATGGTCAATAATGGTGGCGGCTATGATTGAGGATGATGGTGGCATGGTGGCGGTGGAGGTGGTGGTGGTGGTTGAGTATGTTGGTGGTGGCATGGTGGTAATTGATAATTGTAGGCAGTGGCGACATTTACTAATGAATATGTGATAGTATCTTAATGAAATTAAGTCTCTGTTATAGATCTTAATCATACAAACCTATTCAGACTCATTAAATGATTGTGAATTAAAAAAGCAAGCACACTTAATGATTAAGATCTGAATAATTAAGATTCAGACTTTAAAAACAAATGCACTTAATGTATAAGATCTGAATGATTAAAATTCAGATCTCCATTAAATGCAAACAAATGAGACCTTAATGTCCTTAACATTACTTCGTTTACCCAAATAAATATAAATATAATTTTTAGTATATTTTATGCTTTATTTTATTGCTCGAAGTTCTTTCAATATCAATTTATATATGTTGTGTAACAAACATCTGCTCTAGTGGAACATTCTTAACACTAACTCTTTGTACCTATTTTCTTTTCGGTTTTTTCCTCCATAGTTGGTTCTTCAATTTTCGTGCCTTTTTTATTATGTCACTACTGATTATGCACAAATTGAAATGAAGTAATTTACCCATAAACTTTAACTTTAGCAAGAGATTTATACGATCGTAGATTTTTTATCATTATAATTTTGGTGAACATTAAAACTAAATATACATTTGAAAAAAGGAAAAGGGAAAGAAAGATGAATACAATAAAGGAAATATAGAAATAGCGAAATAAATGCAAGAAAATAATAAATAACCCTCCGAACAAAATTTAATTGATAAACGACTTAATGAATTAAAATTTCCTTGATAAAACAGAAATACAAAAAGAAGAAAAGAAAAGGCTACTTATTTCTTCATTTCACAAATAACATAAACTTGAACTTTGCATATACACTACATTTATGGGTTTGCTATTGCAAGAACTTTTCTTTTAATTGCATCTCAATATTTTTAACTATTTTCATATGTTCTAATAAAACTTAAATCTCGCACCTTATACAACCCTTCGAACAAAATCTATTGATAAACCTATCGGACTACATGAAATAAAGCTAAAATCTAGTATTTGCACTCAACTTTGTCAAGTTGTAAGCTAATTTATATAGTGAAGGAAGTAAAAATGCAGGATTATCAATAATGTTAAATGACTAAGAATTAGGCTAAGGATGAAATGCTAAAAGGATATTTATCTTCAATTCAAATTCAAACATTAATAATGTGATTTCTATTTTCAGAAAAAAATTATGTACATTATGTTGGAGATATATTTGGGTAAATTCAAATTGAAAATCGTTTAATCACTTCATTCACTCAAACTACGATGTTTTATTTTTTCAGATGTTGTACAAATTATGTTGAATATATTATTTAGATAAATTAAATTCGCATTATTTTAGCACTATTAATTAAATGTCCCCTACTTCAAGGTATGTCGGGGTGTAGACTTGCCGAAACTTGGAGACGAGACTTGAAGTACTCGACCATCGCAACAAATGATTTTGAAACTTGGAGTTTTCTATTTGCAGGAGAAAGAGGTGAAGGGCAGAACTGGTCCCACTGGGCGTGCCAATTTGTTTGCAACAAATTATTTGTGATACAAAAATAAATTGCAACCACAATATAAATATGAAGAAACATAATTTTATTGATAAAATAATGCGGGTACAATTCTATTTGTTCCCTTGATTCTTCTCTCTAGATCGTTCTCCGTGATTCAAGGGCTTAACCAGCGTATTGATGATGCGAACTTTCTTAGGATATATTTGATCTCAAGGAAAAAGAAGAACATTTGATCACTTTGGTGGCTTTGAGAAAGATAATATTTTGATGTCTTTGATTTCTTCGTGAATATTCCATGAATTTTTATGGAATTTCGAGATGCTTTCAAAGGGAATATGTGGCCCCTTTTATAGGTGTAGCTAGGGTTTTTATTAAAGTAACCTCCAAGCAAGGGTTTCAGATAGAGTAGCCTCCGAGTTAGGGTTTCAGATAGAGTAGCCTCCAAGAAACGTTGATGGACTCTACTTGTAGTATCTTAAATTTAGGATTTTGCCCAAATTTCATATGGATTTGATCCAATAAAATTTTGATGTCTACAAATTCTGGCACGCCCAATGGGACAATCTCTACCTCACACCTCAACTTTTCAATTACCAAAGTACAAGAACGTTGAAATGGCTTCAAAGAAAATCAACTCCGGATCAACATCCACCAAGGCTGCTAACTCCAGGTTCTATGCTGATCTGGAAAGCATCCTCGATGTTACCTTTGGAAGCTTCAGACCAGTTACGAGGAGCAAAGTAATCTCTTTAGGACAACAAGCACTCCAAGTGACATCTGCATCAACCCCTGTTTTCGGATCCTCATCCTCAAAAGGAGCAAGATATTCCACAAACGCACCCGAAGGAGGAAGTGATATTATTGAACAGATCAAGAAAACTCTTGCTCTGCTTGACCTCTCCGGATCTAAGAACTCTGCTATGAAGGAAGATGATGATGCTTCAAGTGATGGATCCTCCCCATTTACACCGCATAGCGTGAGCCATTCGAGAATCAATCTGTGAGACAATCCAAAGCTACTCCCGATCATCTACAACAATCATGCAAGTCATGGTGACAAACACTTCATCTATGGAAGAGCAGTTGGCAAACTTGATGGAAGTAATTGATGGTTTGACCAAGTGCATGCAAAATCAAGATGCTAGAATTGACAAGCTAACAGACAGGGTGGGAGTCTTGATGGAAGAAGAATCCGCCCATGCAACTAGCAAGCTCCCAGAAGTTCCAGAGATTGATTCTCCCCCAAGATGAGTAGCA